GGTACCTGGGGATCCTCACAGAATTTTTTTTTTGGACTTTTGGTTTTAGAGAAAATCAAGATACCTATTTTATGAAGACCACATGGAAGACAAAGAGCTTGTCAACTCTCTTCCCTAGTAGAAAAGGGAATGGCCAATAGAGCTGGGGTATGAGGCTCAGAGCAGAGAAAAGCCTATTTCTTAAGGAACTGCTACTTTCAGGATATTTGGAAAGGAGGTGAAAACAACAGACTCCAGTACTCATCTGAGTGCTCTTCTCTATAGTGGATGTAATTTTATGTCTGGAGGAGTCCCTGGTTTGCATGATTTTTTCTTCAGCTTTGCCATAAAGGATTTTGTGCTTATCCCAGACTAGAGGGTCTGGTGTCCTATCTCAGACCTACACTGCAGCTGGCCCTGCTATTGTCTGAATGGGTCATGCAGCCTGATACCCTGAAAAAAGATCCTCACTGGGCAAACTTGCCCCAGGGGAGATCTGGGTTGCTGCTGCTGCCTGGCACTCTCTTTTTCCCACTCATTAAGAGCTTTTGGGCTAATCATTTGGTAGCATCATTAAAAGGGAAATACTGAGGCTGCCTGCCATAACAGAGCAATTCAGCAGTGCGTGCACACCCACACACACGTGCACACCCCCAGATCATGGGCCCAGTAGCACAGGACAAGCTATAATTAACTAGATGAACGAGTCTATCTTCCTTTGTTGCTGCAATCACTTGTCACTCTCAGCTGTGTTTTGTACTATCCTCACCTTCTTATGTTTTGTACCTTTATTTTTCATTTTAACTGCTAAGTACTAATGGGATGGGAGGGAGCAGGATTCAAATTGTTTCCAAGGTTTCCCTTATTTTCTCCTCCACACTGAAAATTGCCCCTAGCAAACTGTAAAATATGAGGACTGCTGTTACTACATTGCTCTTTCACAGCATTGTATTCTGAAGCTACTTTTAAAAATGTCCTTCTGGCTTCATAAGAATCCAATGTTAGCCCTTGGTACTTTGTACAATTAGAGCCACTTAATTTTACTATTTTGATATAGAAAGCAGATGGCTTGCAATTTTTAAAAAAAATGTAATTTGAATTTCTTGGAGATCAAGGGCACTTCATTTTAAACTTTAAGAAAATACTGATTGGGTAGTAGGTTAAAGAAATATTAAAAAAGCCTCCCAGACCTAAATAGGAAAAGTCAGTTGTGGCAGGCATAAATCATGGCCAGAGAGCAGAGTTTGGGTCTGTCTGCCCTCAGCAATGGACATATTATCTTAATAACAAACTGATGGTCTGAAGAAACAGACTCCTTTCTCTTCACATTACTGCTGAATGTTCAAAGAAGCTGGGCCTCGAGAGGCTGAGTACAAGCAGATGTTTATCTAAAAAACCTATTGAGAGTTTTCTTCTGAAGCCATGTGCTTGTCCTTATTGTCACTCATGTTTGAGGCTCAGGAATAGAAAGTCTCCATATTCTTGATTTTGACATAAAATTTCTTTACAGGTGGATAAGCCATTTATTTCTGAAGTTTTCCTAAACCTTTTCCAGGTTTACTTACTACACACTTTTTGTTGGGCATCACTTCTGTCCAGCCAGTAAATTATTATAAGGATGACTAAATTGGTTTAGAAGAAGCATGAAATCCCTTGGCTACTAGATCTCATGCCGATTTTTATCAATTTTTCCAAGTTCTACATTGGCTGGGTTTCCTTATAGCTGACACTATAATCAAAGTTTCTTGTTGAAAAAATCCAAGATTCAAAGGAAAACATGTCTCACCTGGGTTTAGGTGGAAAACCACATTTTCTTATAGGATTTTTTTGAAATGAGATGGCTATTAGCACAAACATTCTGATGGTACAATATGTGAATAATGTGCTTTGGGGCCTAATGAGTTCATTTGTATCCTGAGCCTGCTAAAAATTTTGCTTTTCTTTATGACTGCTGCCCAAATAGCATGGTGATAGGTGTCCCTATTGATCTGGAAAAATCTGGTCTAGTTTGCAGGTCTGAACCATTCTTACAGCTCTTGCACTTGTTTGTTGGATGCCATATTAGTTTCTTACAGTCCAATAGCAAGTGTTACCACTTTCCACCTTGAGGTGGCTTTGACTTTTATGATTTGAAAATTGTTTTATTATCTTGTCATGTCTTGAAACTGATGTAAAGGTGAGACAACTATGTCAGTTTGCATTTTCCACCTTGATTTTATTCTGACTGATTTGAGGCCTTTGGTACACATGGTGAAAATGTCATGGATTTTATATCTCAACGGTTGAAGTTTTGGTTGTTAATGACATTTTCTTGGAGATAAATACACTAATTTTCACTCTTACTTTAAAATGCAAGACAGGAATATTTTCAGATGAGAAAAGCAGATATTTTATTTCATTAGTTATATTATTATTTATCTAATAATGAATCTGGAATTCTGTTGATATTCTTTGTTAAGATAAGGGTCTCGGCCTATCGACAACATAGGATACAATACTGTTTTTTTGTTCTGTCTCCAAGTCCACTCTCATTTTTCTTCCTATTTTAATAAAGGAAAAAGTAGCATTGTGGGGGGAGGACATTATTTTTCATTAATCTCCCTGCTTTCATTGTTGAGTTGGGGCTAGAAAAATCAAGAGGTACATACAATACCAGTGCCATGGTATTTCAAATCTGCTGTGGTAATTCAAATCTGTGAAGGAGCAGAAAGTGCCAGAATATTTCTTAGGGATACTTTCTTTTACAGGTATTTGAACCAAGGCCTCGGGGGCCTCAACATTGCATTTCTCTGGGGGATTGTTCACTCCTCAGCTCAGGCAAAGGGCTTTTGGGGATGCATCTGGCTGATGTGCCTGGTAGATAGGGCACATGGCATTGGCCTTCTGGGGATAAGGACAAAAAGGGGTGTTGACTCTCCTGACCTTTTGAGATTTTTAAAGCTCCTCTGTGGCTGGTGGAGAGAAAATGGATTTTTTTCTGGTGTGATTTATGTTGTTTAATGTAGGCTCTTGCTTTGAACCTTCTCTGGGGATTTCTCTTGGTTTGTGTCCAAGTGGACAAAACCCCTGCCATCCCCAGTAGCTGCTCCTGTTCATGCTGGGCCTCTTAGGTATGACTTTCCTTGCCCACAGTGTACAAGGCTTCAGGATCTCCATCTCCTCTTTGGATCTGATGTCCCCTCCCTGTTCAGCCAGCTTCTGCTACATGTCATACTGAGACCTTCCAGCCTTTTCACTTTTTTGGCATTGGTACAGGGATTCTGTGTGTTATAGGTCCTAACAATTATACTTTTGTCTTCCTGCCTTTTACAGTGACTTTAAAGTGTCCGTTTGATCAGACCTAAGATTTACCTGTCAAGAATGATGGGGTCGGTTGCCATAAATAGAGACAAAAATTCAACCCACTCTCCTAGCAGAGCAAATGATTCACTGAATTATATCTTGTAATTTAAACTAGAAGTGTCCTACAGTATCAAATCTGCTAGGTTTATTTATAGCTGAAAGACCTAAAAGAATCTAAACCTATGTTACGTTTCTGATTATTTTTCTAAATCCATAATAATCTTCAAGAACATTAAGGTATTTGCATTCCTTAGACTGTACAATTATTAATCCCCTTATCTGGCTTGAAGTTCTCTGTGGGTGAACATATTCTTAGGATGATCTGGATTTTAGATTTCTTCAGCCAATGCAAAGGAAAACCATGAAAGAGAAAGGAATAAACAAATTCAAACTCAGCATGCTGCTTGTTGAAAATTCTCATTCTAATAAATTCATTTGACACCTCAGCCTCCATGAAATTAAAAAGTCACAGTCTTGTTTGATTAAAAAAACTGACTTAAAATATGGGGTCTGTGGTGTGTATATGCATTGAAGGCCCTGCCATATTAAGTGCTATGAGAGGTAGGAGATGTGAGAAGGAATCAAGCTAAGGGAAGTTGGTCAGGGAACCAAGTATGAAAGGGGTTCCTCATGGCTTGAATGTCTAGGACTTGATTTTTGTTACATTAGTTCTGTGATCTTGTGTCACAAAATTGATTAATGGGTCACTTCATGCTTAATGTCTTGGGTGTGGATATATATACCGGAATATATAAACAAAACTTGTCTGAATACAGTACAGTAAACCTATTGGAAAATTGGCCTGGATATAGAATTTGATTGAAACAAACAAGGTTTGTACCAGAATAAATTATCAGAATGGAGCAGCCCAAGTAAACACTTCAACCTCATCTGCAATGACTGTCTCTGCTGAGGGGAGCTGTGCTGCATTCTTGCTTTACCTTCAGTTATGAAACTGAAGAGTAGCTTTGGCTATAGAGACATAAAGTAGCACACTGTCCTAGGACACTGAACCCAGAAAGGGAGTGGAGGTGTATTTAAATAGGTTACAGGTGATTTTTTTAGTCCTTGCTATGTCTGGTGTACTGGTGTCTAATTAGTAAGTGTGAACAGTGTTGATAGACTCCTAAAAATACATGATGAAGCCACATGTTCAATAATGATAGCTTTCTGTATGTGTATGCATTTAGACCAGAGGATTCATCTGAAGCAAGTGTGGTGTGATAATGGCATCCCTTTTACTGACCACTGCAATCTTGAATTTAAAGTCTCTAGCTGAGGAGAAGTTATTTCTGTATCTCTCCAGAGGAACAACAGCTCACTGCAGTCTGTCATTGCAGACCTTGGATTCCATAGCCCATTTAGCTATAGTGGTGTGCAGTGCCTCTGGAGCCACCCCCCCAGGGATGTGCTGAACCTCAAACACAATTCTGCCATGAGCAGCAGATTTTTTCTACCAGTGACAGATGCTTTCCTGCTCAGTGTGTGGAGCAGTGCCTGCAAATTTTTGTGCCCTGTGTGCTACAACCATACTTGGTCTAGTTCAAGTATGTGAGCTCCAATCCTGACGGGTATTGGACCGTGACCAGTGTGCATGGACATTACTGCTTCTTTTCCAGTTTTGTTCTTTTTCTCTTAATTCCTCTCTCTGTCTCTCTTTCTCTCTCTCTCTCTCTCAGGCCTCTCACACCTGATGATGAGTGAACAAGGTAAGTCCTTCCACTTTTTCTTTGTTTCTGTCACTGATCATGAAGGAGCTTTGTCCCTGCTGCATTGCGTAACAAAAACAACTAAGCTTACAGAGTGCCAGTAAGCCATTTGCATTTTTTGCTTCTGTGTCCCATGAGCCAAGGCTTCTTGTCAACCTGGGACTGAGATGCCTAGGAGGGAGCATGAAATGATTCCATGGATAGTAAAAAGGTATGCATCCCTCTTCCATGCAACCCACCAATTACTTTATCTTGCCATTTCTTTCTTGTGCCAGCTGTAATGACTCCCACTTCTGCTTACTAAATGTAGACCTCAACGTTGGTCTTTATTTTAAGAGTACAGTTATTACAAAAAGTATGTTAATAACCCTCGTGGCATGATCCTAACTCATTATGAATCCTGGGGAAATTTGCATATAATGGCCTGTAAGTCCTGTGTCTGCAATTTAAAATTCTCAAATACATACAGAACAAAATGGTTGAGAAGAACAACAGGGCTAACCCCGTATTGAGCTACAAATGGGATCTAGGCCCATATCAGAGATCACATTAATATTTCAGCCTGCACAGAGGTACAGATCTATTGCCTGTGATAGGATGGGGTAGTCAGTCCCACTTTGCACTGTGAGGGTGTGGTGCAAGAAGCTGGTTTCAACAGGAAAAGCGAGGAGAATTGTGGTTCTGTTTGCCTCTGACAGTGCCAGTGTCTTGCTGGCACGGGTGCACAGGAGTTAGCAGCACTCCTGATGCCTTCTAGTCTTGTGAATGCAGGAGTGAAACGACGTAACAATGCGTGGTGTGTGCAAGTGGTACACTAGGAAAACCAGACCAGGTGTTTGGCCTATGGGAAGAAAATGTAAGTTTTGACTGTAAAGCCTGATAAGGCTTTTCTAGACTAGTTCTATGTGAAAGCTTTTTCGGCATTAAGTAAGCATGTATCTGAGGACAGACAGTCCAAGGAATAAGATAGTACACAGTGCCACTGTAGGCTAAAGATTAATTAGGTGCTTGAGTACAACAGATGTAATTTCTATATATCTCAGTGAAATGAGGAAAGACTTGAGACATAATCAGTTTTTATTTTATTTTTCAAGATGGATGTCTGCTCTGAGGTCACGAAAGGTTAGGTAACAATCAGAAGTGAAGTAGGGGCTTACTCATCAGTTTCTATATGACATAACATCCCTGTGTGGTAGGAAAGGTAGGAAAAGACCACAGTGACCATGGTCAAGGCCACAGTGTTTGGCATGTGGAGCATCTGAGTAAACTCGGGAAAGCGTTGAGCTCCTTCTGTGTCGCCACTTACTGCTCAGCTGGGCTCATGGCTCAGAGGTTGTGCTTATTGAAGGGTCATCCAGCAGACAGGTCCCTTCAGCATGACCTAGTTGCTCAGGATGCAGTTGAGTATGGCAAGCTGTTTTGGCAGAGGAAGGTATGTTGGAAAGTGATCAGAACAGTTGATGGCCATTTTCATTCTCAAAACCACCGAACATTTCTTTGGAGTAGATTGTGATTTAGCACTAGATTATGTAAACAGTTGCACTTGGACATTTAAATTACAAGTTGCAACCCAGCTGGCTCATGAAGACTTGCATGACCTATTTAGGTCAGTCATCAGCACTTTCTATACTCCCTTATCTGGCAAAAAATGTGAAAACTATTGGCTTCTGGCAACTTCAGCCACCCTTGTATATCTATAACACATCAGGGAACAGTGGCTTTCCTTTTCTTGCCAACAAACTCACAGATACTGCCTTTTGATAAATATTTACTGTCTATAAAAATATGATGGGTATAAATATGCACATATATATGTGTGAGTAAATATGCAATGTTAACATTATATACAAATACATTAGCTCTAGTAGGTGAGATGTGTTTAGCAAATATATTACCATGAGATTTATTTTTTTCCTGTCCTAGTCTGTTGTTGCCTTTGCTGTTTTGAATTTGACGTGGATTGAGGCATATCACTGGCATGGTATTGCATGAGCAGTTTGCATTTCTCAGTAGAAAATCAAATTAAAGCTTAACCAGGCAGCTACTGATTGTACTGTCAGTGGTTTAAGCTTTGTTTTGTGCTTTAGTTGTGGTGCGTCTCTTGTTTTTCCCTTGATGTTATGTTTTGTTGGGTTTAGCTGCTAGATAAATATGCTCATTTCCTTGTTTTTTGAAGTATGGCCAGTGACATATTTTTGTGGTTTTTTATGCTTCCTCCTTCTCTTCTCTTTTGCCTCCTCCATGGTGGACACCTCTCTTGTTCCTCCTCTTAACTGGATGCACACCTTCCTGTCTGTAGGTAGAAGTAAAGGTAGAGATCACATTCTTTCTAAGATTTCATTGCTTGTAAAATGTTTGTTGATGGGCACAGTGTATTTTTATGAATGTGTTTCATATTAGAACTTAATGCTTTTATTTTTAAAAGTCTCTTAACAGTCTTTTGTATTGAATTATGGAGGAAATATTTATTAAGATTAATGCTTTGAGGCCTTCCTGAGAGGTGTTATTTTCTCCCTATTCTCACTAAATATGGGCTGTTCAGTATCAGGCCATCTGTAGCTGATGATGATGGGGTGCAAAGGATTCATCAATTTGGTCAAGGATAGAGCCGTAGGCCTGTGAGCTCACCCTGCTGACACTTGCTCTAGAGTGATGCCACTGCTGGTAGCTTTTCTGTTGGTGTTGGTGGCAGCAGAACCTGGGCTTGTCCAATATTATTCAACAATGGAGGTTTTTTGAGCTATTGTTTCTTCCCCTGGCTCTGCTTCCCATTATTCAAAGGTGTTTTTCAAAGAGAAATTGAGTTGCAAAAAAGCTGCAGAGGAAGCAGAAGTAATCAGCACTGCTAAACAGAGAGGTCCATTTCCTTTGCAGCCCAGTACAGCACAGGGCATGCTAGACTTCTCTGGGGCTCCAACCTGCTCTTCAGTAGTTCACACCTGTCTTAGGTGTGCTGTGGACAGTAATCCATCCCTTATCAAAACTGCCTAAAAGGCAAAATGCTGCAAACTTGCTATGGGTCTTCAGCTGGCCTGGAAGGAAAAGTAAAGATTGATTGATAAGTTATAAACATGGCTTGAGAAAAATCTTGGTTTTGATCCTATTTCCCAATGAGAAAGATTAAAAGGTTTTGTTATGCTAAGGCTTACTCTGTTCCAATGAATACACTACTGAAAAATCTGATATATTTATTAGCATGATTTGAACACGTTGGATGATGTTGCTGTGTCCATGCCACTACGACACTGGGGAATGAAATGACTGGTTGTGCAGCTATGAATTTGAGAGGTATATGAGCTCAGAGGATTTGTTCATAATAACTTTCTTTTGAGACACAAGCAGTCTCTGCTTAATAATTACTATTGTAATATCTGAGTTCTGGGGAGCACAAAGACATATTAAACACCTTAATTTGTATGATTCCTTTTTCTGATGCCCAGCTTTCTTCTAACAATTTTGTATTGTTGAATTCTCTGTGATGGAATGCATAATGTAATCAATATTATTTGTTCTATTTTGAGGTTGGAAAAATATTTCAATAATTAATTTAATATTTTTTATATTCTCTCCAAACTTGGGTGATGGAGGGTAATAACTAAGCTGTACTCAGAGCTGTCTTCTCAGTAAGAGGTAAACATCAGAACATAATGATCACATACATACACTGCAAAAAAAAATGAGAACCTGAAGCTCTAAACAGGCCATATAAAATGTTACTGTGCCTCAACACAGCTGCCAATAATTCAGTTAGCTGATGTATGGCTTAGTGTGGTTTAAGGGTCAGTGTAGATCAGGGCAAGTCTTGTGTGATGTTAGTTCATGTTCTTTCTTGGGTGGTATTTATGCTTCAGGCCAGCCTGTGTAGAACTAAGCTGAAAGTCAAGGCAAATCTCCTAACTGAGCTGCTAGGCATGAGGATTATAACATATAGTCCACAATTAATTAATATGTACTGAAGTGTAATTTATTGTGTCATTGAGTGAAAATATAATTTCACTTCCCTATGTGTAGAATTTAGCTTTAGTTATTGCAAGTGACATTGTCAGAAAACCATCAGTCTATGTGAAAAATGGCATTGCTTTCAGAGGGCTCAAACTGTAATTTTGAACTCACATGTGGCCTTCAGCTCATAGAGAAAGTGGTACCAGATGCCTTTAGTGCTCACATGGAAGGTTCAAGTTTTTTTGGCATTCTTGTCATTTTTAGTCAACAATTCTGTCTCATGTCATGTATGTAGCTAAAAGATATGATTTATTTGATTTAATTTTGGATATGATGTATTTGATTTCATAAAACTCATTCACAGCATAGTGGTCTTTGACCTTGCATTCATCAATTAAAGCAAGTGTTTGATTAGTTTCCACTGCAGTAAATAGGCTTTTTCTGCATCTATATTTTTAAAATATTCAGGAGATTTTATTTTTTTTTAAAATTCCTGAAAAATTAAAGAAGATGAACTGTAGGTGTTCTGGGGTAATGGCTGGAGTAGTTGAGATACAGACAAGCACCTCGATATCACTTGCATTTTGACCTGAACTGAGGTTTCAGGTTAAATGCATTGAATTCTTATTTGAGGTACAGAGCTGGTCATGGAGGTGAGGTAAATATGTGATGAGCAAGGACTTCTGTTTAGTTTGGCAAGAATTGCTGAATATGACTCTCTTCTGGAGAGGTACTGGCAATTAAGGAACAATTATATTAAGTTTACTTCCCCAGAAGTAAATGATATCAAAGGAAATTACAAATATCCAACTTTAATTTGCTACTGGAATTAATGTGTTATCACTTTCTTCCATATAATTTTTTCTCTTGAAAGTCTTTGTTAAGGAAATGGTTATTTGCCATTTTGTTACCTTCCACCATGTGGGTTTTGTCTTACCATCACTCTTGGCTTGGATCTGACTTTTACTGAGGCTCACATCCCCTTTGAAAATTGTCTGTATTGTTGGTGGGAATCTGCTATTTTCAGAGAATTAAGTCCTTTGTCTTCTTGAAGGCAATAGCAAAATTCACATGGAATCCAGTGGGCCAAGAACCCAAAGAACTGAAGATGCCCTCTCTGACTTGGAGAACAACCAGAGAGGCTGGTTTCTGGGTGTGCACGGGGCACTCTGTAGTGCCCGTGCAGTCTGCAGACTGCTGGTTCTTCTCCAAGGCATATGGCTCGCTCCTTCCTTCCATCAGTAGCTGTGCTCAGTGTGAACTACACAAGAGCCTTCTCATTTTCAGAATGAAGAAGGTTTTTCCTTAATTGTCACAGAGAAGTGAAAGAGTGGGATCTTTTAAAATGCATGTTGTGTGGACCAAAGGCTAGTGCCAATTCTGTTGTTTAATAATCAACATTGCAAGATCAGATTATCTGCTTTGGTCCTACCTGCTCTTAACTGAAGTAGGTCTTTTAAGTCTTGGAAGGTTTAGCAGTGCTCTCAGAGAATGAGGTTCTTATGTCTTTGAGATGTTCAATAATATTGACCTGATGGTAATAGCATAGGAAAAATGAAATAGCGTTTGTAGGCTTGAATAGAAGAACATGACTGGACTTTACTGATCAGGAAAATAATTTCAAGTTCTTTTTCACCAGTAATGCCATTAGGATTTGTATAGGCTTGCTTCAGAAATAGTGTAACCAGCAGGACCAGGGCAGTGGTCATCCCCTGTACTTAGTGAGACTGCACCTTGGGTGCTGTGCCAGTTCTGGGCTCCTCATTTACAAGAAAGACATTCAGGTGCTGGAGTGAGCCCAGAGAAGGGCAACAGAGCTGGTGAAGGCCTTTGGAGCACAAGTCTGATGAGGAGCAGCAGAGGGAGCTGGGGGTGTTTAATCTGGGGAAAAAGAGGCTCAGGGGAGACATCATTGCTGCCTACAACTACCTGAAAGGTGAGCGTAGCAAGGTTGGAGTCAGCTTTTTCTTCCTAGTAACAAGAGATAGAATGAAGGGAAATGGTCTCAGGTTGCACCAGGAATGGATTTAGATGGGATATTAGTAACAATTTCTTTATGGAAAGAATTGTCAAACATGGAAACAGGCTGCTCAGGGTAATGGTTGACTTGCCAGTCCTGGAGATGTTTAAAAGATGTGTAGATGGGGTACTCATGGACACAGTTTAGTGATAGACTTGGCAGTGCTGGGGGTTGGACTTGATGACCTTAAATGTCTTTTCCAGTCTAAATGGTTCTATGGTTGTATGTGAATAAGTCCAGCAGAATGGCCAAGAGTTTATGCAAATGTTGAAGTGAAACATCAGTAACAAATTAAATCGTTTGTGCTCTCTAAATGTCTAATTATACAAGGAAAAAAACAACACTACATTTGTCTTGCCAGCCTTGGCAGTGGTTTTTAAGCTCTGCTTTGTCCTGTAAAGCATCATAATATTTGGATTTTAAATGTGAATATTATATGGTTTTGGTTTCTACAATTAAAAGTATTAATGAAAGGACTGTAAAATGTGTAGTGGTGGGTTTGTTTTCCTTTGGTGAGGAAGAAATCCTTCATTATTATAAGGATGATGGCTTTCAATTCTAACTTTACTCTTAATGACTACTTAAAAAAATCAAGCATTTTATTTTATGATTAGCAAGTACCAAATATACAAAACCTCTTTGATAGAAACAAAGCTCCTTGAATGAAGATGCTATTCATCTGGAATACATTTTTTTTGTAAGTGAATTTTTGCTGCTGGTTTCATATTTTATTTAGGGACAAAAGAAATATTTTAATGTAATTTGTTGAAATCTAAGTAGAGGTGTTTGATAGTTGATGATTTCAAATGTAAGGTATTGGATGGCATTTCTGCAAGGCATTCATCCTATTTCTTTATATTCCACTGGTGATGACATTTTCTAAATTTTGGGGAATGAAGTCACTTAAATGTTCAATATCAGCTAATGCAAAGGAATATATGTCTTATTCTTCTTTTTATAAAGAAATTATTATTTATTATTGATTACCTCTTTGAAATACATTTATGAACACAAACATAATAGGACAGTACTGGTAATTTTTTTTGTTTGTACTTATGAACATGTGAGTTTACAAAATTATGTATGCATAAGGTATCAAATAATGCTTTCAGTATTTTGTAGTTTATAGGTAATTAATTTTTTCTTACATGTTTTCTTTCTGCCTTGTTTTAAAACTGTCTTTCTGATGTGTGAATAAGCCACTGATTCTTTGCTGACTTTCATTTTTATTAAGAAGAATGATTCCTGTGAGACTTGAAGGCATTGTGGTTGTGTTGTGTGTAAACAGGAGCTAAAATATTGCTGTCTTAGACTGTATTGTAGTCTTCTGTTTTCAGTGAAGCTCAGGT